CCCAATGATAGACGCCAGAGTTGTTTGAATCATCACGAATTTCGCCGGGCGCACCCAGAATCGCACGAATCGCACGTCAACCGCGTGCGCTAGGAGCTCTAGTCATAAGGGACAGAGCCACACGAGCTGATTTTTATTATAAACCTTTATCGTATTTATGAGTTTCCGCTCAAACCCCGCCCTCTGTGGGCGGAGTCTCGTCCTGCCACCCATCATAAGTGTTCCCATCCTGTCGTCTGTGCTCCTACGAAATTTGAACGCTCTAGTTCCACTGAGACAGGATCTATGAGTTTTCGCTCAAACCCCGCTCCCTGGGAGCGGAGTCCGGTCCTGCCGCCCATCATAGGTGTTCCCATCCTGTCATCTGTGCTCCTACAAAATTTGACCTCTCTAGTTCCACTGGGACAGAATCTATGAGTTTCCGCCCAAACCGGCCCCCTGCGGGCGGAGTCTGTCCTGCCACCCACGATAAGTTTCCCATCCCGCCGTCTATACTTCTTCCAACTTTGAACTTCCTAGGTCCACGGGTACAGTTATGATTTTCCAAAATGTTTTCATATAGCATTGCATTTTTGCAAAACGCCCGCCCATCGGGGTGGGTCTCCCCAGTTGGATCTAACTTACCAGTGCACACCTCTAACCACCTTTGAATCCCAATTTTGGAGCCGTTTTGTGAATTAATTTGAAAACATGGTCCTCAGTACAGCTCACTTCGGTGCACGCCACGTCCACTGTGGGCGGGGCTCTGCCAAGCTGATATGTGCTTCGTACGTCTCAAGACATTGCTCACCCATCCCACGCTTTACCAGGCCTCTCCAGGCAGATCTAAAGGAGCTAAGGAATTTCGTGAAGACATACATACAGACAGACAGACAGACGACAGACGAAGCGCTTTATAGTAAGTAGGATTCTCATTTCTTCTGTACCGAACAGATTTTTTTGCTGGAACATTTATTTGGCCAGTGATTCCACCTACACTTGGAGTTCGTTAGTCTTAGTTGCAACTGATCAGGAATCGTTCAGCCACAGGCGTCATAGGTAACATTCGAAAAATTCCGGAAACCCTTTCAACCTTTGAGGGCGACGAATGTGTCGAGAGGTCGGGGCCAAATAAATGTACCAGCTTAGAAAACCTATCCGACACAGAAGAATTGAGTTCACATGTTCAAGGCAAAAATGTTTACTCTTCGTGTAAGGCGGACAGGGAAAAGCTGACTTTTTCTTCTTTCCATGAAGATCTCCATTGTCTAGGTCGTTGCGAACACTCACACAGCAGAGAGTTGTCGGCTAAAACTGTTTTCGTTCTGTCCAATTTGTTTTCTTGTCATCTATATTTACATTTGTTGTAAGCCATTATTGTTGATGTCCCTCTTCGCATAACCGAAACAAGGACTGAGACGACATACTTGGAAGTTTTGGTCATATTTACCTTATTACGACCGTATGATGTGTGTGCGTTAGGAACGAAATGGTCGCATCGCGGTGAGGGGGGCGTCGCGCTCGAAGGAATGTAGCAGGATGCAGCAGCAGGTAAGAAATACAAGAACAAAAATACTAATAGTAGAATTATGCATAAAATAATGATCGCATATCGATTGAGCTGATGAAGAACGCTAGAGCTGTAATAACGGCGAATGAGTGGTCCGCGACAGCCGCGTGCGGCAAATCGATTACCCGAAATCGTTCCTAACACCCGTCTCCCGACCGTATGCTTTTTGGTTTCTGATCGTGCTGACTCTTTGAGAACTAATAGAAACATATTTCCCATTACGCAAACGCCTCAGTCAAGGCACAGTTCACGATGAACATGGCTTCCGAGATATCCACCGTAATACGAACCTGTGGGCACCTCGTATACTACAATGTGGGCTGCTGGGTTGGAAAACGAGGCTACCTATTCGAGGCTTTAAAAGGCTCAAAGATTGTATCGGTTGTACGCCTCACCGAAGATCTAAGAGTTTTAACAGCATTGTAGCGTCTGCAACATTCACAAGGGACACTCATGTAGGAGATTCATAAAACTCGTTATGACCCATAGCAGTACAATGTAGGGAAGTTTTGGGCAGTTTGCTTGATGTAGCAGACTCTTTGCGTAATTGCAAGAACTGGAATCTCGTCCGAATCCCCCTTCCATGCCAATCCCTTCACGATTAACTCGTACAACTCAAATTCTCACTAATTTTTGGAAGACTTTTTTTCACAGATCGGTGGATTTTCTCCCTTTTTTCAACTCCGATGCACTACCCTCAACCAATACTTTCGCTTTTCTTCTCAAGAAGAGCACCTCAGAATTATCTGAACTTCGTCTTCAGATAGAGTTTGAAATTACGCCTGTAGTTGAGTAACAGACCTCATATAACATTCTCATTTTTTTGCATATCTTCTCTTCTTCTTTATTCAGTTATCTTCTCTGAGAGATCTGTTAGCTTGCCACTTTCTGTTGAATCATGGAAAAAAATAGATGAAAACTAATTGCTAAAAATAGATAAATTAGGTAGAACAGTCGACAGACTTCCCTCCTTACGTCCCTGTATCGTAGGTGGGAAGCGTGACCACCCGGGTCGATAACGAAGGCTTAGTGGGGTATCAGCCGCTTGGAGGAGTTCTCAAAATTTAAGTGATATCTGACGATTTCCCATATCATCGAGGGAGGTGAGCACTAAGGTGCTTCAGAAATTCCTCCTCGAAAGCCTATAGCGCAACACTTCTGCCGCCAAACAATTCATCGAGCGAGCACTGGGGCACAACTCTTCACAGAGAGGGCATATTTCCCAAAAAANAAAAAAGAACTACTTCTGGTTTGCCGTACTCAGGGGGCACTGAGCGTGCGCGGCAAACAAGGAACTTTTCCGGAGAGGTGCTCGCGGTCCGACTGGGTTGGTATTTGCACAAGGTGCATTGCTGGGCCGTGATTCGGGTCGGCGCTGAATGGTACGGCCCAAACCGTGATCATCACATCCCTTCACACTCTTCCCGTTTCTCTCGCCATCTCTCCCTAGCACCCATTATCCCCTATAGATTCTTCCAAGGATTGAATTCCTGTCGATCTCCTGGCAAAGTGGTGCTGAACAAAACAGTGCTGTTCGATGGACGGTGACGACGTCATAATGTCCTCTGTTGAGGAATCACCGTGTAAGTTATACGATTTGAAGACGTTCTTTTTCGTTTTAAAAAAAGGCCTAGTGAAGGAAAGACCTCAGTGAGAGATCGTCACCGACGTTACTTATGAAGAGGTAGAGTTTGGGCAGATTCATGCGAATTTTAAATATTCCAGGCACCTCATCAGACGCAGAGGTGAACATTGATAGATTGCGTCGTCGAACTTCAAACGATCTGCATCGCTCAGAAGATGAATTTGAAGGCGCCCAACCAAGTACATCCGATTACAAGCTCTCTCCTGCTCCTAATTATGTGGATACTTATCTTCAGGTGAGAAGTATGGCCAATATCCAAAAGCCAATCTTCTTGGGACCTTGTTCGAAATTTCGCAGATCGCCTTCGATCGATTGCGTTGTGTACTTAGCTTTGGGTCAGCCAGCGGCTCGTTTTCGGCCACCTCACACTGTGAAAAAAATCGTATTTGATGCGTTTTGGACAAACCATTGTTCCTGGAAGGCATACGAAGTATTGCTGTACTTTTTGAGAACTGGCAAATGGGAGAGAGAAACTGTGGATTTTCACAATCAGTCTTTTGTCAAAGTCTTAGTGTCAATCGAACCCTGCTGCCAGCTCATGCAGAGCATGAGCAGTACTGTGAGGAAATCCCATAAGAAGCAAGAAGGATTTCTTGGTTGCCAATTCGCTTTAGTCGCGTAGGCATTGTTCCTAGCCAGCCTGGGGATCGTAATTTATGAAGATGGAGGCCCTGGGCCAATTCAGAACGAAACGCCAATCTTTTTTATGTTTTCTGATAATTTTCGCTTTTTTCTTCAAAAGATTAACTCTCGTATGAGTTTTGAGCAGTCCTAATGTTTATATTTTCTCTGTGGGACTTTTGTACAAAAACAAAAGTCTGTTTCAGCAGATCCTGCTCTCTTCACCTGCACATCTGTTCTCGTGTGGCCTTCTTTCCGCGGATCAGTTGAGTACTTCATGGGAACAGTGGCTTTGCTATTTGGCCTCGTCCTTGACTCCTCATCAATGGCAGGTTTGTGGATCCAACTTTTGTGGAGCAAAGAGTTTTTAATTCATGAAAAATATGGGATTTAACAAGCTGACATCAGTGATCCTCTATTAAATTGTTTTCTTTGCGTTTCTTATCAGCGATTGATCCCTTAATAAGGATATATCCGCTATTTAAATCCAACTAGTTGTTAAAAATTTGTATAAAAGCCCTGACTGCGTAAATTCTATTTTGGTCCCACGACCAGATCTTGTCTGTAGGGGCTCATCGTGGGGATATAACTCGTGAATAAAAAGCTCGCAAAAATTGTGAGCTTGGCTCAGATGATTTGTGTTCAACTGGTTTTGGATCACTTTTTGTATTTTTTCTCAGCGGAAGTCTTTTGTAGTAGTATGCATAAAGTACTTGTAATTCCCAATTACAACAGAGGTGGCACAAAGAGCAGCAGTGTCTACAGTCATGGGAATGATACCAGAAAATGGGATCCACTTCCAAAAGTATTGCAACTTGACCTTTCTATTACCCGTAGCCTAGTCCATGCCATGGATTTCAGACCTGTCTATATTGATCTCACTGCCTTTCATCTAGTCCGTCGTGCCGTCTAGAATGTCATCTACTCTCTCGAGCTTCCGCCAGTAGGTCTCTATTCGTCCCTGTCGCGATTCAACTCAGTACAGTGAACATTCCTTGCTTTGAGGAAACAATAAGTATCATACTTCCCTGCAATCCTTTTGTGAGCAAGTTTCTGTACCAGACCACTGTTCGTTTTGACGTTCGTTTGATTACTCGAGAGTGACTGCCCTTTTTCACCTCCTTCACCTTATCGCACACCATTCCCGGTTCTCACGATGCTCCCTGATCTTCGATCACGAAGACCGGAAACACATGCTCGTTCTCCGTGTGTGTAGCCCTTGTCTGAAGCGCAAAACTGCTCACTCCGCGTTCTTGTATGTTTCCCGAGCTGCTCACTTCCTTCTGCTAAGCTTTGAAGATGAATTGTTCAAAAACGAACCCTTCTCTATTGAACATCGTCTTCTTGATTCCAAAGAGAGATGGTCTTCCTACATTCGTTGCAGCACTTCCTTTTTTCGCTTCCTTTTTTTTCCATTTTTGAACATGATGTCGCTTGCAAAGCGATCGTCGACCTTCACTCCCATGTCTCTATACTCTACAAACGCCTGACACTTTAATGGGGTTGTTAAACAGTTTAGGTGGTAGGGTATCTGTCTCCTCGTTTTCATGTCGCTGTGTGCTAGTTGACTCCTAGTGTCTACTTCCCTGCTCAATTCATTTCGAGTCCATTGGGCTCATCATAGTCACGACTTTACATAGACAAGCAGGTGATGAAGATTCTCGGAGCTGGGGTTAAGCCACATCCTTACAATCACAAGGGTCGAAGTGTTTTGAACAGCTTGTCATAGAAGTGTTGAATGAAACCCTCAGTGCTTGTCTGTTGGTCATATCTGGGCCAAGCAGGGAACTGCAGTGCCCATCAGTCAGGGTACCTCCGGAACAAAAACTTTCGATCGCTGGTTCATTGCTTTAGCACTTTCCAAGTCTAGGCGCACTTTCTAGTGAGTCTCCTACGTTGGATCCGATTTCATTTCGAATCAGACACCACCTTAGTTGGTAGTTGGGAGGCCTGTCGCGCCTGTGTTTCTTTTACGTTTCAGTAGCATTAATTCAAACCATTCTCAATCCTATCAACACGTCATCCTTTTTATTATATGTCACCAATACAGTCACCTCGACAGTCATATGCCTGGCCAGCTCAGACCCTATTCCCTTTCACTACAGTTATCCATACCTCCTATTGCAATCATGTTATTTCCATCACGCTCTCATTTCTTAGACGACAACAAGGTAAGTTCAAGCTTGCACTTCAATATTACACGTGTGTGCACCGTTCTCATAACTCTTTACCACCCGTCATCACTTATCAGAGGTATTGCTCAACAGTTTTGTTAACTCCCTAACACTTGCATTTCCAAATTGGATCGCACTTCGGGAATCGCTACAACACGATCACTTTTTCCAACCAACCCAATCAACCCCTTGACGCTCCCGGCTCTGGTCAAGTATTTCGCACTAACATTCATTTCCTTTCACTCGGCCTCTACAAACTACTGGTCCATTCAACCAAATTTACTCGGCCGAATTAAAGTGTCTATTACCCCACAACTCCACTCTTCTGATTCACCCTCTCATATCCTATGCTCATAGCAGAAAGGGCGGCTAGCGGTCACTGTAGATAGAAATAATGCTCTTCATTATAATGATATTTGTGTGTGGCATATATGTAAGGTGGAGATAGTGCCAAGTGGTGTACTACCGAAACTTTGTCGGGGATCAAATCCCGGCTCCCTACCCACCACCATTAACCATGCATTACTCCTCTTCAGGTCGGTTAATGGGTACCAGACACGTCTGGGAGGATAAAAGCGCTAACATATATGAACATCTGCCGTACCAGCAAGTCTTTGTATAGGCCGAACAGGCAAAATGGCAGTGCGGACCGAGTGAGAGTCGAATGTAGGGGGAACACTCGAAAACAAGACCGATCAACATCAAAAGGTTCTGTCCATCATCTTTCACCGCAGATATTCTTCCAAAGATGATATCTGAGCAAGTGGTTTTAAAGTGGGGAGAAAGAAGGATCACAGTTTTATTTATTCCCACCTTAGCTATGAAAAAATGGTTCTGGTAAGCGATCTGCATATACGAATCTTCTGTAGATATGGTAACCCTGCAATGCTTGTCTCAGTCAGCTGGTGGTCATGCAGAGCTCACCGAGTTGAGCAATTCCTGGGATTAATCGTTAGCTTATGCGTGACAGTTCGTCCAGATCAGTTTCATGAAGAGCGTATTGACGATTAGCGCGACTAAGCTTCACCATAAACGAGACGGAAGTATTAGAGAACTCTCCATCAGGGAAAGCTTAACTTCTGAAAAGTGTTCTACAGCTGATGAATGATTTTGGGAGGAATTCAACACGAATCTTTTTGCAAGTGCATTACCACTCTTGTCTCACCCACCCTCCCTTCGCCACCCGAGAGCGAGGAGGAAGAACCGGCTGTGCGAGCAGGCTCAAATGGGTGTTAGTTGTTGTTGATCGCTGCTGACTGTACTTCCCCATTTCGTTCTGTGGTCTGTAGTTTCGCACACAACTCACATTTGAGCTTGGTGGGCTAGGGAATTTCTCAGAAGAGCTAAGCGCTTCTAGTCGCTTTTGGAACTCCTCAGTAAATTTGTGTTTCCTATTGACAGTGAATTGTGGATTGATGTTGTGTGCGGACCAGAAGTGAACCGGCCAGTCATCCTGACTCATTGGACTCGTCATCTTTTGCTATCCAAATCGGGAAACTAGCAGTGCAGTCGTGCTTGTTGTCATGGAGAGACACCTCCCAGAGCTGACGAAAGCAATTCACTGAATTATTGAATTCATGCTATATCGATGACGGACATTACATAGCCTTCGTGATTGCATCGATCGGATTCAACAAAAAAAGTTCGTAGAAAATTCCGATAATCGTTCCGGACACAATCGCTCATCGCGCCATGTAATGATTCGGTTCAGCATTCGAAAACAAAGCATCGATAATGGAGGATCGAACTCTTTTTCCGTTTGATTGCTTCTAAATCTAGTATTCCGTGTATCTTCTTCTTCAGCCACAAATTCTGACTCTTCACAATCCTTCTCCTTTCTCTTTCAATTGCAATTTTTTCATATTTTATGGATGTAAAAGTCTCATATACCTAAAACCCCGTTCATGGAGAAACTCGATGCTCACATCTTGAGTCAGGGTATCAGTTAGTAGGTGAGTAGTCAGTCAAGCTACGCAGTAAGAATGAGGGAACAGGTAGCGCTAGTCAAGCATACACAGGTACATTTCTTGACCCAGGCAAGAATGTCGGTTATCACTATTTTCGAGATTTCAAAACGCTCTTATCTAAAGGGAGGGACGATTGTCGTGTGCTTCCTGAAAAGCAACTTCCAAATTACGCCGTGAATCTGATTCATTCGTGAATTCACTTGAATGTGGAAAGAGCATATGAAATATTTCCGGTCGTAGTCAGCACATATGGTTTTCATAATCAAGAATGGCGAACTTTTTGCAATGATAGAAAAAAGCCAAGTGGGGCTGTTTTTGAGCAGCGTTGGTGCAGTTGTTTCCTATACCGATATTGTACCCACTAAGGACCAGGGATTGCTTTCGATTTTGGCAGTTCATTTCGATGGCGGAATTCGAACTCTGGCTTAGCTTTTCTACATGTCCCAATAGTTTCGATCAAGACGATGTAACTGACTGAAAATCCTTTTGATCCGAACGACTGCTGTTATGCATGAATTTCGAGAAGTATTACGAACTATCACGTTTCTACAGGATGACCCACATGAAGTGTGACGGGCAACAAAAAACCAACTTATGGGCGTATGGGCTGGAGGATGCGGTGATCCCTTGGGCGGAAAGGAACGCGATGAACGTCAGCAAAACCTTTCCCAGGATTGGGCACCAGCCCACAGCGCAAAGAATATGCTGCATTGTTGTGAAACCACGCTTCCAGGTTTTTGGGGCGGAGCAGGTTTGANCTTCAAATTCCCCTATCTCAATCCTGTGGATTTTGCTGTATCAACGATTCTGGAGCAAAAAGCCTCCGCTTCCAAACACAGATCTTTGGACTCTCTAAAAAAAAGCTCTTTTGTAGAAGCGGGGGATGAAAGTGATTGCGCGCATTCTTGAAATCTTCCGAAAGAGGTTGGATGCTTGCATTAAAGCGAAATATGGTCATTCTGCATGCGAAATGTGATATGTTGTTTACAATTTTGTGATGATTGTATAGGAGTGAATGTTTCCTATTAGGTTTGATTTGTATAATATTGATGCTAGTTTTCTGCGTCACTCTTCATGTGGGTCACCCTGTATACGACCCCGTCAACCGGAATCCTTCAAATCTGTAAGCAAAATGGCTTTTGTTTTATTTTCAAAGGTTTACGAAGAAATTTTTGGGAACGTTTTCACCGATAGTAACGGCTGATGGCCATGGGACTTACCCGTGTTCGATAATATGTATATGGGCGTTTCATATTTTTCACCGACCACCACGCTACTTAGATTGCATGCAGCTTTCTCTACGCAGCTTCTGTTACCATGACCAAATCTCGGTAGTTGCCTGGACTTGTTTCATGTACTACAAACGCTGTTCTCTTTCTTTCCATTAAGTGACTAGGACGTATTTTGACGTAAATAGAACGCCCTTTTATGGTGCATTTTTGAGAACGAAGAGTTCCGGAAATCTTATGTATGTATATTCATGAGTGATGGAAATTACCAGCCACTTATGGGTTTCCAGTTCGTACCGCATCATTTTTGTCGTGTTGATAGGGCGTTGTCATGATGAAGGCGATTTTGGCCTGCCTTCTAAATGCTTGTATGGCCGACGTATATCCTGAAACCTGCCAATGAGATAGGGGCTCTCAATATTCCTTCCATACCAACAGATTAGTAGACCTTTTTTGAAGAGCATGTTGGACTTTGCGAGCGGCTCGGATTCCTCGTCCTAATCCACCTACTGTCTCTCCCTTACGGAGGGTTCACCTTCATGC